CCCCCCCCCCAGATTGATGTCACCTACAATGTGCCAGACCCGGTGGCCAAACCGGCCTTCCAGCTGCTCGTGAGCCTCCGGGAGCCCGAGGCTGAGCAGCGGCGGACCCCCGCTCCCGCCTCCTCGGCCGATGATGACGACCCAGCAGCCGACCAGCATCACCAGGAGTATCAGGTGACCCTGGAGGTGTGCACCAGGTAAGGCCACTTCCCCGCGGCCAACACTCCTGCCTGGGCCTCAGAGGAGGGCCATATCAGAGGAAGACAGCTCCTCCCAGGCCCAGGATGCTGAGCAGGTGCTCAGGGTTGGTGTTTTGGGTCAGTCTGAGCCTGTGGATTGTGATGCTATCAGCTGGCATGCCTGGGGCACCCACCTGCTCCCTACTACATTTCCCACTGCTGTGGCCGGACCAGCCCTTGTGGCTTTTGTTACAGTTGCAAGATACCCTCGGCAACAACTCTCAGGGAACTTTGAGGGACAAGGTTCATGACTTATTGGTCCTGGAAGTTACACAGCATTCCTGGGGCCAGACAGCAAGGTCACAGGTACAGAGAGAAAAAGTATGCACCTGGGGCTCTGCCTTGACTGGGGTAGAGGGGGGGGGGGATCTAAGGTTTTGCCAGTCCATTCTCATATTTTTAATGTTTATTGATTTATTTTGAGAGAGCACGCGTGTGAACAAGTAGGGGAAGGGCAGGGAGAAAGAGAGGGGCGGAGGGAGAGGGAGAGAGAGAATCCCAAGCTGGCTCCGTGCTGTCAGAGCAGAGCCCGACGCGGGGCTCGAACTCACAACCGTGAGATCATCGTAACCTGAGCCGAAATCAAGAGTCGGACACGTCAGCCCCGTCAGTCCACTCTTTTTTGGCGAATTTAAAATTAAGGGCAGGAGTTAGGGAGCAGGAAGGGAAAAGCAGGTTAGTTATCTCGGTTGCCCAGGGTTTTCTAAAGGGGGAACCTCGTGTGTGTGGGGCGCCTGACTCCTTGTCTAGTTGTTGAATCTAGCAGCCGTGTCAAACAGCTGGTGGTACGTTTATCTGAGATGGGTATCTTTGACGTGGATGCTTTTGCAAGCAAGTGCTTAATGTCAGGCACTTAACACTGCAGATGGTTTTTGAATGAGAGAAGGAAACAGAAGCTTCCAAATGGATGCAGCAGACCCCAGTGACAGGTGAGGCAGGTGGCCCAGGTGGGGACAGCTGTTTGTGGCCCCTGTCCGACTCACCAGAGCCTCAGGCCTCTCAGTTTCCCGAGGGTGACCCCAGGACCAGGTCACAGGGGTCCTCAGGGGGGGCACAGGCAGCTGCCCTCAGAGGATGCTCGTTGCCATAGTGACAATACGGGAGCCCAAAGGTGGATGGTTGCCATGGCATCCAAAGCCCACTGGGGCTGCCAAGGCCACTCTCCCATGACCCTCAATCTGCCATCAGCTGGGGTAGGGGGAGCAGGAAGCAGGCAGACTGGCCCAACTCTGGCCCCATTAGGCCTGCTGGGGACATGCCTGGGCTCCCATGGCCCTATGTAGCTGGGGACATCTCTGTTCCTCTCTCGGATGTATGTGTGCCATCCAGATATGGGCTTACTCAGGCCTCACCCCAACAGGAAGCTTCCCCATCCTCCCCAGGGGCTGCGGCCACCATGGCCCCTTGGGCCCAGAGTCTACCGGTTCCCCTCTGAATATCAGTCACCTTCCTTGTCACCAGCACGCGGCACTGGGAGGGCCTGGCACGTAGCAGGCCCCAGAGGTCAATTGGGCATACCCCGTGTCACAGAAGGGGAAACTGAGGACAAGCACTGGGGAGTGACTGGGTATCCCCAGTCACCTGGGCTCCCATGGCCCCACGGAAACTGCTTCCTGTGCTGGGGACACAGCACGGGGTTCGGGGCAAGCACAACCCAGAGTCAGTAGACCTGGGTCAGGCCCAGAACCCTCGGCAGGGCCCTCTCCTTATGATCTTAGGGTCTCAACTGTGAAACGGGCTGACCAGCGACCTGTGTTTGTACAAATGGGCCACCCAGCCAGGCCTAGGGCGGGTTCGCCCAGGACTTCAGGCGTGGGGATTGTGGCGGGGGGCACAGAGGGGGCCACGAATTCCACCGTGGGGCTTGAGCTCGAGGGCCTGCGTCTCTCCTCTCGTTGGAAGGTGGCTGCATGCGGGGTCCTCCAATATGGCTGTCCTGGACGTGCCCTTGCTCTCAGGCTTCCGGGTGGACATCGAGAGCCTAGAGCAGGTGAGGTGGTGCCGGAAGGCGGAAGCCGGGCGGGGTCTCTAGCTGACCACCCTGACCAGGTTGCAAATTCCCAGCTCTTTTTTTT